TTTTTTTTTTTTCGTGCAGCCTCAAATAGGCAAGTAGTTTTGAGTTTGAGTTTCTCCCCTTTTTACAGGTTATTTACTAAGGTGCAAAAGATTTCTGGGAAATGATGAAAAAAGCCATTCTGAGCTGCGGGAAATAGATTCTCCTCTTTTTTAAATGGGATTGAATGCTGAGTTTATACCAGCTGAAGATTGATCCCTCTATTTAAACATGGTACATGACCCCTGTGGTACTGCAAAACAACCAAGCACTTCTATCCTGGGGGCTTTCTGTTGGGCTCCATTTGTGTGCTCTGTAGTATTGAATAATTGGGTTCCTATCATAATTGAATAATTGAATACCTATCATTTGTGTAGCAGCACCCTGTGAAATCCTGGTAGAAATCCAAATCCCCGTGCAAGGTGCTGTACGGACATATAACTGACTATTCTTGCCCTGCAGACTTTAACACTTAAAGCCAGAGGGAAAGAGAGGTGACTTGCTCAAGAACATATGTAGCAAGTCAATAGTAGAGTAAGAAATCGCCTTCAGATCTCTTGACTGCCGTCCAGAATCCTAGTCTGTCCTCTATTGCCTTCCCCATGAGAATCAGCATCCTTTCTGCCCATCTCGCATCACAGGCATGTCTCATCCAGCTGACTTTTGGTGCAAAGGGGTAGATGTTAACAGAGGGATGGATGCCTCTGAAAGAGCATCCTTCTTTCAGGCACATGCACAGACACCCTCAGTACTGACTCTCTTTAAAATGTAGGGAAAACCAGAACAAGTTATAGGAATAATACATGTGGGTTTTTTTCCAGTTTCCAACAAGGAGCCAGTGGGAATAGATTTTAAGAGGACTTCCAAATATTACAGGGAAGAGTTTTATCTGAAAACCATTTGGTGAATTCTGAATACAGCTTTGATTAGAGCTAGAAAGCAAATGGGGGTGTCCGAATCCCTTGGGTTGATTTGGCATTTTCAGCTTTAAACACACTGGTTTTTATTAGTGTCCGCTGGGGTAACTGACTGGTAACAGATTATAAATCTCAATATCTTCAAGAGCTTAAATTTACAATGCGGTTCCATGACAAAGCAGTGCTAGTTTCTGGATGCACTGGTTATTTTTTTAAATATGGTTATGGACTTTTCCTAAAAGGCAGCCCAAATGCCTTTGATGCAGGTAAAATAAGCATGTCTTTATAAAAGTAGTAGCAGAAGTAGTTGCAGATTTGTACTGGGTTCGGGCCATTTTATTACCACTCAAGAGCATCGGGGTTGTTACTGAGGCTAAAGTTACTTTTAGAAAGCCCTAATATGTTTTTTTTTAATAAGACTTTCTAGGCTTCAGGCTGTAACAGGTCACTCGGAGCTCACCGAGATTTCTCAGATGCCAAAGCAAACACTCTCCTCTAATACTGATACCCGGGGAGGTCTCTCAGTCCTTCTGCCCCGGGACTGTGTGTGCTGAAGAGTGCCCCGAACGCTGACAGTGAAGCACAGCTGAAATGGCTGTGTTCATTGGATGGAGTTTTGCAAAATAAGCAAATGTTGTGTATTTTTTCCTTCAAAATCAGGGCTCCAGCTCAGACCCAAATGCATAAACTTATTGAAAATAAAACTAGGAGCCAGGCACGCTTCGGGTTTTGTGCAGAACGTAGTGATGCCAGGATTTGCGGAGGAGCCTACTCATCAGATGTTATCTGAGGCCACAGGATGACTTGTAGAGTCAAAAATGTACCAAATTAACCTGTCCTAAGGGAGGGAGAGGGGGCTTTAAAGTAGGGGCCAAGTTCTGGTCTCATTGACACCAGGAAGTGCCCAGGTTTTGGCCCATGTGAGCATCACCTGGGCCCCTAAAACTAGTCACAGCCTCAGCAAAATGGGTTGTAAAAGGGCAGTTTTATTTCCAGAACGTAGGAGTATGAGAGATGGGCACGTGCTCCTGGGTGGAAAACTCAGGCTCTTTGGCATCCGAAAATTTACAGCTTCAGATGAGCTGATCCTTGCCTGGGGCTGATGAGGCAGCTCTGGGCTGACTTGTATAATTAAGGCTGTGCTTTGAATGCCCCTGCTTTGACAGCCGAACAAGCAGAGGATCAGGCTCAGCCGGTTCGGTGACTTGCCCAAAATGAATGTTTCCCTTGGCATGCAGCATGTCTTTTGACTAGGGAAGTCTCCATTTAAACACCCAAGCGTCACAGGACCAATGTTTGGCTGCTCCGTGTTGCTGTCCTATTGTCACGGGGTACAATTATTAGCATTTGAGTTCTTATTTTGAAATACATGACCCCGCAGTTGTAGTCCAGAACAGCAGGCCACATGTACACCAGGGTCCACCTGGGAAATGGGAGTGAATTTGCTAGTCCTCGGGCACAGACGGGGCAGGGTGAAGCATAAAGCCACCGCAGTCTCGTGCAGCTCTGTGGGCAAGCTGGTTCCTCCTGAGGACAAGGCAGAAGAGGCTTTCCTCTGGGAAAGCCACAGGGCGAGGAGGAAATAGCTGAACAGAAAATTCTCGTTGCTGCTCCCTCTTCCTCCCCAAGGGAATTTCTCCAGGAAACTATTGCTTTTTGCCCTGTCATGGTTATAAGGAAGACGGTGTCATGCTGTAGGAGTGGAGGGAGTAGAGGACCAACTTGACTTTGCAAGGCTGCTCTGGGCTCCTATGGACTTGGCTTGGCTGCTGAAGGCACTTGGGACCCTACAGCAGATGGCCAAGGTGCACCATGCAGGCTCTGGGAGAAGCAGGTGGCTTCACGCCTACCTGTTAGGCCCTATACGGCGTTGCAATCCACGACTAAACCATTGCTGTCCACGCATTTCAAAGACGGGTTGTAGTCCTGGCCTCCTCAACTACTGAATACCTTTATCTATCCCCTAGGCTTTTGTACGGGTGCCTCCCAGATTAATAGGAGGTCGCTAGGTGACTTCATGGAGTCTTCTGCTCTTCTGCCTTCTCAGGTTTTGGGAAGCAACAGTTGGGGTAGGTTTTTTTTTTGGCTCTTTTTCTCCTCGGAGTCGCTGTCTGGGGAATCCGTAGCTATGAATGCATACCATGCCGGCTGTGGTGAACAGGATTTGGCCAGGCACTGGATCTCTGTGGGTAACCTTGCAACTTTCTGGAAAAGACAACTTCTTCCCCTCCAGGAGAACTGTAGTCTTGGGATTGTGCCTCCACCCTTTCATACTTAACAACTCGGATTTCACTCCTCCTAGCATTCGCAGCCATAGCTCTGGGCCTACTAACCACATCTGCTTGATGCTTGTCTGTCTTTTGCGGGGCCTGGGGAAAGTGCCGTGGCGTTTAGGAGAGGATTTGCACGTGCGCTTCCTTTGTTTCCCTCCTCCGGGGTCTCACAGGGCTCTTTGTGCTTGCTCCCCCAGGTTCGGTCATGTCGTGCTTCTCTCAGATGTGGCACACGGACGTGCCCGAGTCACCCACGAGCCCCGTCCCCGCATCGCCAAGTGAAATCCCCATCCCGCTCAGCCCTATCGTCATCACCTCGCCCACAGAAGGCAAGAAGAAGCTCAGGTCCCCCACTGACAAGCCTGGGTCCCCAAAGCCAGCCTCCCCCAAGCCTGCCTCACCCATCGAGTGCTCCATCTGCTTCAACACCTACGACAACATCTTCAAGACCCCCAAGATGCTCCAGTGCTCCCACGTCTTCTGCCTGGAGTGCGTGGCCCGTTTGGCCACGGCACTGCCTCCAACCCAAGTCGAGGACCAGCTGCCTTGTCCCTTCTGCCGGCAGCTGACCAACATCCCCCGCGAGGGCCCTCCAGCCCTCCAGACAAGCAAGGACCTGTTGGCCACCCTGCCCCCGGACCTCCAGCGCGAGAAAGTGGTTTGGATGGAGGGCACCAAGCTCTGCTGCCGGCAGTCGTCCCAAGATGACCCAGAAGACCCCAACGCATGCATCTCCCTCGATGTTGCCATGAGCAAGCCCGAGGTCCCTCAGACGCCGGATGAGGGCTTCGTGGGGAGGCTGTCTCGCTGCGACGTGTGTGACGACTGGAAGCGTGTCGTCCTCCTCTCAGCCTTGGTCATCATTCTGCTGTGCATCATCCTGTGGCCGGTTCAATGCGCTCTGAAAACCGGGAACCTCCGCTGCTTCACCAGGACCGTTACGTTCGCCAGGCCAAACATCCCCCAGGTAACATACACGACCACGCCAGTGCCTGGGACCGAGGCGCCCCTCCATTAATGAACCCACCAGCCTTTAAGGGCAGCTTCCTCGACGCAGCACTATCAAAGCGCCTCCAACCCAAATGTCACTTCAAGACCTGTGCTTTTCTAACAGTGGTCTTCGTATCTACCCAAACAGTTCAGGTCTCTCCCTACGCACCTGCTCTACCCATGCACTTGGAGCCTCGGCTAAATGCGCAGTTCTTCCACCCCTGTCCTGCTGCACACCTCTGCCAAAGCATTTGGAAATGAAGTGCTGTGTAAGGGGCAACACGTACAACCCCACTGCCTAAATTCTTCCTTGATGTACTTGAGCCTTAAAAACACATTCAAGGTTTGATGGGGCAAGGGCATATATCTAGACAGCAAGCAGCAACGCGAGAGAGGTGCACGTGCCTTGTGCTGAGTCTCTGGAGAATATAGGCAGAGCTGGCAGGGAGCTGAGCTCCTTCCCTTTCAACTCGTCAATGGACTGGAAGTGACAAAAAAGGGTATTTTCTTGAAAGCGAATGACTCTGAAGAGGCTTGCTGGATGAAAGGAAAACGTGCTGGCAGACCGAGTATCAGCACTTGAAAAGAGCTTGGCAAGAATGTACATATGTCAGGGACAATATTTAATTTTATACTCTGTGCTTTATGAAACATTTCAATTGTATTTCTGTTAGTGTTATATTGTTGGAGGTGTCACTTCACTGCCTTTTCCTCTTGATAGTCAAACCTCTGATTTCTTTTTACTTTCCACTTTCCTTCTTTGAACTGAGTCCTGTTCTGCTGATGGGATGTAGGATTGCTCTGAAGTTGTGAAAAAGAAAATGGTGGTTTTTATATTTATTTTTTTTTCCACCTGTCCTCACCCCAGACTCCAGGCTGTTCCACTTGAATTCAATCTTTATGTATCAGCGTGGGATTTCCCAAAAGAAGATTATTTTTGGAAGAATCTTCTCCCCCATTTATTTTTAATGAAAGCAAATTCAGTGTTGAGTTGAGGGGTAAAAATTGGTTTAGGCATATTTTTATAGAGTGGAGGCTTTGCATTTGACAGGAAGAACTCTGCATTTTCTGACGTGCAAAACCCCCTTCAAATTTCAGTGTTAACTGTTTAACTTAAACACATTTTACACGATTTGAAACCGTGGCTAAGATGGTAAAAATGTGAGAGATTACTTTTTTGCTTTTCTTTGGGGAAAAAAAAAAAAAAAAGTTTCTTTGTATAGCTTGGTTTTAAATGGCATCAGTATTAAGACACGGGCCAGTTGCTCACACTATATGTATATTTATTTAATGCAGCGGCTTCTTTCAGTGTTGCTTAGCCACAACGGTCTTCATAAACAATAATGCTTTGCACCTCGTGATACGTGTTACTCACCAGGCAGACAGCATCGTATCAGATTTGTATGCAATAAATCTGTTTTATATAATGATGGTGTCGGTAGTACCTCCTCCACAACATTTCTTTCTCCTAAGTGCTGTTTATAAGTGTTTATGTTTAAAAAAAAAAACTGCCCAGAGCAGATTTGAGTTGGATTTCCGAGGGTGAAAACAGATCCGGGCAAGCTCCGTCACTCCCAGGTTTTGACTGGATCAATTAAAACTGACCCAAAAGTGACGTCTGTTTTTGAGTATCTACGTGAGGACAGCCTGGGGAACGGCGGTATCTTTGCTTCCAGAGAAAGGATGCAAATAAAAGTAATCTGTAAATATTTGCACTCGGCCACTAGCCTACTTTTGCACCTGCCCGTCTTTAGCGGCCCCAGAAGCCGTGTCCTGGTGAGCTCGGGGCTGCATCCACCTGCACAGAGGGGATGGAGAAACCTCTCTTTGCTTTGTCTCTTCCTGCATGGGGGGAGGCGAGGGGGCTGCCAGACCTCCCACTCATCAATCCCCCCCCAACTGAGGTATGAAGATGGCTTGTAACGAGAGTTAGGGCATGGTTTGCCAGGCAGCATTTCAGGAGGGTTTTGTTCTCTCGTGGGCTCCATTTGCAGCTCGGTGAATATGAAGTTGTCAAATGGTGGCCTTACCTGTACCAGCCCCGGGACTGATGCCAGGAGGCTCTGGGTCTTCGAACACAGCTGCTGCCAAGATCATTTGGCTTGGGGGAGAAGTTTTCTCCCATTGCCCTGTCCAGTTTCCTGCAAGTTCACCCCTGAAAAGCCTTCCTTCGTGGCGCAAAAGCTGTTTGCAGGCGACTGACTTGTGCAAGGTAAAAGACAGCCAAGAGGACAAGTTTTAGTTCTGCCACAAAGCAAGTTTCCTGAGGTCAACCCCAGGTGGAAGTGATATGGTACCCCAGTTTCAGACTGCCCTTTATCAATACCTACTTCCCAGTTGGCCATGAAACGTGGGTCAAAGCTCTTGCTGAGATGGGCTCCTATATTGAAGCTGCTAGTTCACATTAGGGTGGCCATCATAGAGGACATCTGGGTTTTCTGCTACTCTGTCCTCTATTGATACGAACCCCGACGCCTTTATATCCCTATTTTTCTCTTTGAGGTGTCTGGTTTTGTATCAATAGAGGACAACCGGACTGTCCTCTCTGATGGCCACCCTAGTTCACACGTAACCAAGTCTTATCTGGACCTTGATACCAAGCTGGCCTGGAGCATAATAAAGAGCCCTTTATTAGAGCCAGCAGGTTCACAGCGCCTCCCTGCACCGTACCTTGCTTTCCAGGTCTCGGTTGCTCCTGCGCGCACTTAAATTTGTTTAAAAACATCAAGAAAAGGAAAAATACCTTTTTTATAATACTCAACATTTATTTAAAAGTGCAATAAAAATAAACAGTTTTCCTGTCCCTGCAACACATGACTGGAAGTGCCAGTCGGTAAAAACAGCCCAGCAACGTCACTGCGCTCTTTGTTCTGCCCCTGCAGGTCTGTGGGGGGCAGAGCTCCCACGGGGAGTGCTCTTGCCCCAGACCAGATAAAAGGGGCAGCAAGTCCACTTGTTTTCAGAGACGAGGAAAACCTTTTTTTTTTCCCCACCCCCCCATTAAAATCTGCTCCATGCAAGGTCTCCAGGCTTAGACGCTGGCAGGCGGACCCCAGGCTCCTTGCAGAGCATTTTCCCGTCGCGAGGAGTCTCGCAGAAAGGAGGTTCTTTGGTAGAGCGGCTTGCAATCCCAGGTCTCGGAGAGCAGGAAGTGGCGCCAGTCAAAACTGAGATGCATTTGATGGAGCTGGAATACTAATACTCCAAACTGAGAGAGCTTTCCTCCTTTTTCCCTCCTCCTTCACTATTCTGTACAAATACTAAGCCGTCCCTGGAGCAAACCTATTTGGTATACACAGCGTTTGCCTCAGCACATAGATATAGGGGAGGGAAGCAGAGACAGGTCATACTGTGAGGCAGTGGGAGTGGGAATCGCAAGTGCCTGGCTCCAAGCCTGGGGCTCAGTTGAACAGCCTGCGGATGGGCGTGTAGGGGTAAGGCATTGCCCTTGAGTGATGGCTGAGCATACAGATGCACGACTCCTGACTACTTCTTCCACCAGTAAGGGAGGATTTCATTTAGCTCAAGTGGTACACGCTGGCATAATTGAAGACTAAAGGTCTAATCCTGCCTCACCACTTGTCTGTCTTGCAACCTATCCAGGTGCTGTGCAGCCGCTAGATGCTCTCTCAACGCATGCAAAAGTCCATGCCCCAGGCCATCCCATCAGCACACAGCGGTAGCATGGATTGCTCCCAGGGCTTTGGCAGAGCTGCACAGGACGGGAACAGCCAAATGGTGGTGGGGGAGATTTCATACAACTGTTACATAGACTGTTCCTGGGTCCAGGCTGGGCGCCCTGTCCCTCGCGATGAACTTCACCTAGGCAAGCACTTCTGGCTTAGAGAGGACGGATCTGCTGAAGCCTGGAGGTATAGCAACAACCTTGCTGAATATACCCTTCACAGGCAAGCCCAGGGAAAGCTCCTAAAAAAAGGAGTCATCTTCAGTTTTTACAAAACAATTTTTTTCTTGGTTTAAAAAAAAAAAAAAAAAATCTTAAATAAAAAAAACAAAAATGAAAACAGAGCTTTCACGCCCTATGGACATATCCGGAGGCACTTGCGCATAAATATCAGCCTAAATGCTTTTCAGGAAGCTGAGAAGGTCTTTCTTGGGAATAAGTTAGGTCGAGGCACGTTCCTAAGGTGTTTGCTTCACCTTCTTCTGTGGCCGGGGGAGCTGGGGCTGGTGTGCCCCACTGAAACCAAGGTACGTGAGGGAGGCCAAGACTAAGGCAGGAAGGAGACGTTGTCTGCAGCGGCAGAACCGGGGAAGTGTGGACGTAAACATTGTAAATCCTGAGGCCCAAAATGAGAGGAGGAAAAAACAGGTGTCAAGAGGTGCGTAATAGTGACGCGCTTGTAGTAGGCACAGATGAGGAACTTCCCGCACAAGTAGGCTGTCCTTGCTAGGGGTTCACGCTAAGAGATTGGGCTGTGATCTGAAAACTACCCGGGCTTCCAATGTTGGTGGTATTATTAAGCAGTTCCCAAAAATAATTGTCTTGTTTAGAGAGAGAATTTTTTCCCCTCCCTCCTCCCCTACAATCATAGAAAATGAGGGTTGGAAGGGACCTCAGGAGGTCACATCTAGTCCAACCCCCTGCCCAAAGCAGGACCAGCCCCAACTAAATCATCCCAGCCAAAGCTTTGTCTAGCTGGGTCTTAAAAACCTCCAAGGATGGAGATTCAACTACCTCTCTGGATCACCTGTTTCAGTGTTTTACTACTTTCCTAGTGAGAAAATTCTTCTGAATATCTAACTTCAACTTCCCTTGCTGCAACTTGAGAGCATCGCTCCTTGTTCCTCCCCTTACCATCAGAGCTGAGCTAGGGGCAGCCAAAGAGCTGCAGTGTTGTCAGGGCAGGTTAAGCTGAAGATCATGGCTGCTTTTCCCAGTGGGGGGGCACAGAGAGAGCTACATGTGCGTCACATAAGATGCTGAACATGGACTGGAATCAAGAGGATCCCTCCTCCACCACCACCCTCCGGTGGGGTTCGGTTGGTTGCTAGCTGCACTATGAACCAAAGGGAAGCATCCATACCTGCATGGCCTCCATCCAGCTTTCCTTCCAGTCCCTTTATCGCCCTGTGTTGCTCATTCCTGAAACCCTTGGGCTCTTGATGTTCAGGTTCTCATAGACTGTGCCCGGGTCGTCGTCAACCCTGTGAAGAGATATGAGCCCTTGCTGTGAGCGGTGCTGCTAACTCTGGGTCCTTTCCAAAGAGATGGCTGCTGGGGTGGGGGGGGCAATGGGAAAGGGGGTCACTTGAGCAAATTCCTCTACCTTCCCCTAGTAACCTTTCTGAATGCAAGGCCTAGAACTACCTGCATCCTCCTCCACATGCACCACATGCATTTGCATTTCACACCAGCTGTACCTCAGGCGGATTGAGCCCTCAGCGTCCATCCAAGACCTGAGCTTGTGCCTACATATGAATCGTATGTGCTGTGGGTAAGAACACGTCTGGCACTTCCTATATGCCTAAGAGCTAGAGCTGAGACGCAACCTTGGGCTTTCTGGAGCAAGGAGCTGGATAGAAACCTGGATCCAATTCAGATTTTGACAAATCAATCCTAGCATTCGGGAACTAACTGATCCAAAAAAAAAAAAAAAAAATCCCACATCCAAACAACCCTGAACTTCCCTGAAATCCAGCCCAGAATTCATGAAACTGTGCAATGCTCAGCAGCTAGCAACTCGTTTTCTTTGGCTTCTTCCCAGCACACATGCTCTCGTCCTGAGAGTCACTGCCAGTTCCAAGCTCAACAGAAGCCAATAACTGGAATCAAAACCTCCAGAATTTGTAACGTTCAGAGACCAGAGAAGAGTAGGCTCAAATCAGTGACTTGGAAAGTTTCTGAAGCTAGTGAAGAATCCAGACTGGGCAAAGTCACTTCAGGGCAGGGTCTGACCACTTCCTTAGTAATTTAATCAAGGGGAACAGCTCTGGAAACATCACCCATTCATTCCTTGCAATTAGGGTGGTAAAGTGGCCTCTCCTACCATCTGCTGCCCTCTAGTGCATCCTGCAGAGCCCCCGTCCCGGACGTGTTGCTGGAGATGGACTCAAATTCTCCGATTCAGCTCTTGTTTCCCAAACCGTGGGAGTGGGATTTTGAAAAGAGGGTTTGGGGCTGTCCTGATGCCGGGAGCATATCGTGGCCTGTGCATTCACGGCCTCCGCTCATGCACTGGGTATGTGCTGACAGGCGCCAGCTTCCTTACTGCCGCTGTCTGGTTGCAGTTGTTGGCCGCACGAGTGATAGGTATGAGCGTGTGTGAGAGACTAGTTCCGTTCGTTCCCAGCTCAGATGAGACTGGGGCTGGTGCCCAAGTGAGTCGGCATCCATGCTACAGGTGGACTAGCACCTCTCCATGGGAGCAGCCAGCCCTCTGCCGCTGCCGAACCCTAGCCAAGTGCGATTTTACAATCTTATCAAGGTGCTTCAGGAACCTTTGCAGCTAACGGGCCTCCGATATTCTATATCCATGTGCTCCCCCACCCTCTCACACCCCCAAACTTCACCCCTTAACTCTCTTTCTCTTCCTGCCTTCACCCTCCACGTTCCTGTTAACCCTGTATCTCACTGCATGCCCCTCTACATGATACTACTGTTATTCTCCTGCTTTGCCTGCCTCTCCCATGGCTCAAGCCGGATCTCCTTGGCAAGTCAAAAGAAAAAGCAGTTGATTAAATACTCGTAGGCTGGCTGCTCCCCTGTGTACTGCAAAAACAGAACACATCAGCAGGGCAAGACATGACCGTATTTGCCTAATGCACCTGTGTAAGTACTGATCGTTCTCCTCTTTCTAAGCGCTCTAAGAGGAGCATTCAGCTGCGGGAAGAGCCGGTGGGGTGAAAATTGGCAACGACCAGGACTATGGTCATTGTGCTCCCTGTTGGAGAACCACACGGTTGGAAGGGACCTCAAGGATCATTATACTCCAACCCCTTGCACTGATGCAGGGTTGGCTGCTCCTGAACCATCCCACATACAGGCCCGCCCTGCCTCTTCCTGACAGACTCCCGTGAAGAAGATCCCACAACTTTCCCAGGGGGGATTACTCCATTGTCCTGCTGCTCTGACAGTCGGGGAGTTTTCCCTGAGATTTGATTTTGCACCTGCTTTGCTGCAGCTCTAAACCCATTGCCTTGTGTCTTGTCCAAAGGAGAATGTCATTTTTCTCACGACGGCCACTGACATACCCGAGACCTGTGGTCAGGGCCTCCCCTTCCGCCTCCCCCCCGCCATGCTCCTTTTCTCCCAACAAAGCCAACTTAGTTCTTAGCAACTTTCCTCATACACCAGCCCCTTATTCATCTTCACTCTCCAATCTCTCTGCATCGCCCTTAAAATTAAGCACTTAAAAACTGGACACGCCACTGCAGCTGAGGCCTCATCAGCACCGAATGGTAATCCTGTTGATACCTCCTAACACACACATGCACACAACTTACGCGGACTGGGCTCGGGGTGAGGGGGGCTGTGCCTTGGCTCTGCCTTTTTCCATTGGTGAATATCCAATATTCAAGTAGTCTCGCTCTTTTGCCTTACTCCTCTGCAAGAGAGAAGACAAGTTAGGCAGGCACGGAGGAAGGGTGGCTACAGGGAGCCAGAGTATGGTTTGGGACGTTGGCTGGCCCCGCTGCAAACACCAGACCTAGTAGAAAAGTTGCATTTCATGGAAAAGTGAAAATCGGCATGCCATGAAACGCGGACATTTCAATCGCTTTGCCACTGAACAAAGAGCAGCCCAACCCAGCCTGCTTGGATCCACAATCAGTCAGGATTTATGGCAGGAGACCCATTCACACGCTTGATGCAGAGTGAGTTTCATTCTGGATTTGCCCTTGATGCATTCGATGCCGGGGCTCGGATCCTCCCTGTGACTTCCAGGAGTCTCCATTCACGCTGGCCGTTCCAACCGAGGAGCTGAGTTCAGGACAGGCCTTGCTATTAATGCGGTTCCCTGGGTACACCCAGCATTGCTGCTCTTTCACGGGACCCACCTGCTCCTCTTCTAGCCTCTTCTGCTCTGCCTCAATGTACTGCTGCACTGCCATGTAAACGAATTTGTACTGCGCCTCAGTCTGCACCATGCCAGAGCGCTGCCGGCGCACCATCTGGATGGTCTTGGGGATGTCTATGTCACAGTCCAACCCTGCAAGGATCAGAAATGGAGCGAGATTGGAGTCCTGGCCTCACTGAATCCCCAAAACCCGAATACTTTGGTGGGGCTGGGATGCTGCCCTGTGCTTCATCCACAACTTGTTCCTTGCCCATGTGCTTGTCTGGGGAGGGGAAGATTTCTTCCTCCAGGGATGCAGAGCTCTGCCTCCTCTAGCAGAGGAGGACCTTCCAGTATAGGAAGGTCTCCCTCACCCCATCTGCTACTTGGCTACTCTTAGATCGAAGCCCAAGGGCAGTCTGGACTCACTGAGCTGGAGACCTTCAGGCTCTTTGCATCCCTGGAAGGAATGAGTTAGATTGTCCTGCTTTTTTTAGTGGGCCAACTGGGGCAAAGGAATACCAACAGCCATAGAGTAGATCCTTATTCATACCTTGTCTGTGAATAATGTCCACCAGAATATCGATCACGATGATGGTGCCCGTGCGTCCTATTCCAGCACTGGGTCGGGGGAAGAGGGGGAGAGGTCAGTGTGGGAAGATTCAGAATATGTCCCTCACCCTGGGATGATGAGCCAGGGCTATGTGTGCCCTCCACCTGCACACCTGGCTCATCAAGGCTGACATCTGTAACACCCGCCATCAAAACAAGAGTTGCCCAAAGCAGAGCCCTTTAGAGAGGCATCATAGGCTCATCTGAGCATTCAGCTAGGAGCCAGGAGCTCCTGAGTGCTGGACCTAGCTCTAATACTCGTGCTATGCCTCAGTTTGCCCATCCATTCAAGTCATATAGGAGGGTTACATATTCAGCACTATGCTGCGGGAAGAATGAGGCTTATTGCAAGGCCTGAAGAAGCAGCTTCATGTAGTTTACCTCCACTGACCACAAGCTGCTCGTATGTGCAACAACCACCAGCCCCATCTTGACTGGGGAGAAATAAGAGGAAGCCAAGGCTCTCGGGCACCTACCTGCAGTGCACGATGATCGGCCCGGTGTCTGGAATGCTTCGCTGTGCTCGGTTCACTTGGTCCAGAAAGCTGAGAACCCCCCCTGGCTCATTGGGCACGCCATGGTCCGGCCAGCTGAAGTATTGGTAATGCTTGACCAGGCGGGGATGTTCATGCTGCAGGGAGGAGAGCCTTGGTGAGAACTCACTGCATGCTACAGGCTCCCACTGAAGGCACCTGGGCTCCTTTCAGCAATTCTTCTGTCTGGATGGTCTTATATGGGACTTACCTGTCCTCTATCCCCCCCAAGAGAGTCTGGAAACCCACTCTCTATTCAGATGGAAAGCAAACATCTTCATTTCTCTGCTGCAGAGCCCCCATTCTGCTCAGTTTTCTGTGGTTTCCCCAGAGCCATGTGTCCTATGCTGTCTGTAATTTTCCTTTCTGTACCTATATTCTGACTGGGACACCATGCCCCACCACACACCCTGCCAGTTAGACCTTCCCAGCTGGCTGATGCCACTGATTTGAGGCCAGAGTTTGGCTTAGGGACATGTTGTGTCCTTTTACACAGCAAAGCAGGCAAACGAGAAGGCACCCATGCATGCAAGGCTGGGTTCAAGGAGGCTGTTCCTCCCCATGTTAAATGCTCCCGATGCTCATGACTTCACCAGGACTCTATGCAAAGCCAAATCGTGAGAAGTGTTACCCACCATGACAGCAGCTCTGGAAGCCTGCAGAGAGCCAGTGCCCAGCAGGCTCTAAAAAGCCAATTCATGCCAGAGCTGTCATTATTGGGGTGATTCCATAAAATAAGATGAAATATTTATATACTAATAGCACACAGTCCTAAGGGGACAAGCTGGCTCCCTCCCATGCTCTACCCAAGGCAAGCCCAGCAGTGGTCCCTGCCAGCCTGGCAAGTAGGATGACCCTGAGGCATCTCACCCTGTCTGTCCGTGAGATCTCCAGCTCCCGGAGGTAGTAGCCCTGGGCTTCACGTTCGCTCACGTTTTGCACGCAGATGTGGCCGTACTCTTTGGTGCAGTTCTTGTCCGGCCAGTAACGGTAGCATTTATTCTGGGGGGACACAAAGGAACTGGGGTCATTATTCAGGACTGGTGAGGTGGCTGGAAACCCAATGACACCCAGTTGTACTGCTGAGTATTAAGGACACCACTTCTAACACAGCACCCCCAAGCAGGTTGTGGGTACTGAGGCCTGAATGAAAGAGCCCTTGTCCTTCTGGATGTGCTCAGATCCCTCCTCTCAGTCACGGAGTGCAGGCAGCTTGGCTTCTGCTAACAAGAAACTAAGCAGCACGTGGAGTGGGGTTGTATTTCCACTTCTATGGATCTGAACAGAGAATAATGGAAGCCCATGCTGGAGAAGAACGGCGCTTTACTCTGCGGGTCTCTTGGCTCCGGTGAGGATCCCAGTGTGGGAATGCACCACTCAACCACGTGAAACGTGCATGGGTTTCAGACTATGACTCTGCATCTCAGTTGGTAAGTACTTGGCACGTCAAAAAGGAGGTTGACAGCTGCCCAGGGTCATACAGCAGCAGAGTGAGAAAGTGAACCCGGGCGTTCTGCTCCCATTTCCCCAGCTGTAAAGCATCGCCCTAATCTCTTCAGTAGAAAGTCTGATCAACCAAAGTCCAATGGGAACGGCCATGCCTTTGCAGGAGGGTAAATAAACCAGAGCATTATCTGGGTGGAACTGCTGGCTCCTAGCAGGGCTCCTGCACAAGGCCTTCATGCCAGTGTCGAAACATGTTATAAAGAGAGAGAGAGACCACATCCAGATGGAGCACTGCTAGTGCAAACTAGACCTCGGTCACCTCTCATCAGTGGCAGCAATCTGCTAAATGGCTGTCTTGGTAATCTACCATATTACTTTATCCCTCCACCTCTGTCTGCTTTATGGAAATGTATGTAGGTGAATCTCAGCCAGGCTGTATAACCATAGCTCATCCCTCATCCAGCTGCCTGCAACCCACCACCCTACACGTGCTCTCTGGATTTGTTGGATGAAATGCAAAGTTGCCCTTCTCTTTCCCATCAGCAGTGACTGTACAGTGCCTGGATCATGAGGGCTGGCCATAAATATTTATCGTATGCCATTGGCTGGGAAGAGCAGAACATCACGCTTCTTTCATGAGCAGCGCAATGGAGAGACAATGACATGCAAAGTAGGTAGGGAGAGAGGCCAGTGCAATATTGGTGCTGGCAAAAATGATATCAGAGTGTTTTTCCTTGGTCAAGGCTGGAGCAGCATCCCGCCTTCTCGATCCTAGGGAATTCTCTTCCCTACAAAGCAAAAGAATTCAGCTTCCCTGGTGGAGTTCAGTTGCACAAGGGAGACTTGTGATATTTCAGCAGTATTATGGGCAAGTAGATGCAGCTGCCATACAGGGCAACGCAGGCAAGTTAACAACCTTTGCACTGTTTGCCCTTCAAGTTCTCAGTGATTGCTCAGGCTCCCAAAAAGCCAATAGTAATTAGACCAGATCATTTACAGCAACAGGGCTTTGTTACCTGCCACTGCAGGCGACCTCTGAGAGAGGCTGAATGCCTATGAGGAAACGATCCCTGTGTTTGCTTTGACAGCAGCGATGCAAGAGTGTAGGAGATGCTGACCGAGTTCAGGGTCTAGGGCAGCGGCTTGATGCAGAGCCCTTTAAATTTGAGAGCATTGGGTTCATGCCAAGGCTGAAATCTGAGTCTTCTCCCCAAGCAGAATTTGTCGCAATTGGCTGCAGCTACTTAGGGCTCCAGACAGGCACGGGCTGGGTAAGTTTGGGGTGAGACGGAGGTGCCTTGATAGAGGTGTGGGTGTCTGTTGTACAGTGCGAGGGTTTATCTTTCCCAGCAGCTCCACACCTGGCTTCCACAGCCCTTAGCTTGTGCTTTGCTCGCATTGCACCACTATCGGGTCCCCATCACAAGGTGCCAAGTCTGTGCATCACCCCAAAGGGCCTGGTGAAGGAGAGTAATGGGGGAAAGCACTTGTGGGGCCCGTGGTTTCATATATGAGAACTGCACCTCTGGATAAGGAGCTGGTGACACTCACCCTGCCTCGCTCCACTTCCTTAGTCGTCATGACAATGACGTGGGTATTCTCCTGGTACACCATGGCCCAGAAGTCGTTCACTGTGGTCTGCAGGCAGCCCTGGGTGGCGATGTACACCTTGCAGTGCTCCGAGTTCCTTCCATCTTCGAGAATGCTCTATGGCGAGGCAGCGACACAAACATGGGTATGACTGCTGGCTGCTCGGGGCTTCACTATAGCAGTTCTTGGGCTGACAGGAGCGGGGGTCCCAAAGGAGGCAGCAACCTGAAGGGTTCAAGCCCTTCCAAAGGCATCTGCCCCCTGATGCTGCAGAACGCCTTCTACACAGCAATCGGGAATCATTCACCCTCCGAATACCTGACGCTTAGTCTCAAATGTGACTCCCTGCCTAGCGGGTCTGTGGTGGGTCTGGTTGCAGTTTGCTCTCCGGCAAGCTGAGACTACAAGGCTGTTTAGAGGGGTCTGGCTGAGCCAGAGCAAAAAGCGAGCGATCCCATCGCTCTGCAAAGGCTGGGTGTGTATATGCCTGAGTGGCTCCACCAGGCTTCATATTAGTTTCAGCTCGCAGGTGACAATGAGTTTGATCTTGCAGGCAGCCTCTGGAAAGAGCGAGCCTGCTCAGTGCAATCGGCTCGGGGAGGAGGGATTTTGCTGGAAGAGCTGTGTGGGGTCAGGCAGGACAGGGCGACTGCTAGAAGCAGCCCAGCCTCCGAGCAGCCTGAGTGCCAACAATTTAAAACAGAGCCAAGTGCTCCTGCTCCCCCCGTCAGTCACCCTGCTCCTCCCCGTGTCCGTCTCCCAGAGTGACTGCACCATGGCCACTGTATCTCCTCTGAGCAATGGGACAAAGTGCTGCAGGTCCCATTCTGAAGGCACCATTTCCCCTTGTGATGTCTCCCCACCTGCCCACAGGTACAGCTGCTGCAGGCTGAGGGAGCCCCACTTAATCCTAAGACACCACCCCTTTCGTCCTCCACACTCACCTTGATGTAGTTGGCGTTGATGTAGTCAGACCCTGGCACGCTCTCATCCACCTCTCGGAGCGCCACCCGCGTGGTATCAACTGGATGGGAAGAGATATCATGTTGAAGGGGTCACCCCAGCCATACGCACGTGAACATGACTGCTCCACATCGGGACATGGGAATTCACCTGCAGGGGCTCCCAGCACGGGGCATGAGAGCTCTGCTGAGCAGGTCAGCACATGACCAGCTGCATATTTTAGGGCTTGGGCTACTTTCCGCTTGGGGGATGCCGAGGGCGAAACTTCCCTGTGTCCCACCTCTCTAGTGATGCTCAACAGGAGGCTCTTCCACCAGCCCTGGGATATGCCACAAACCCCATAATTTAGGCCAAGACACCATGGTGAGGAGCAGCGTCCTATAACCTGAGATGGACAGATCCAGGTTTCCTGTGTAGGGTGCTTTAGCTCTGGTTTCATGCAATTTCCTCCCCACTCCCAAATTCGATATGGCATTTGCCCAATTCCTAAGCAGATGATTCACTGGGGAACATCCCGTAGGTTCGAGCCTCTCCCAGCACCACAGTGCAGTCCCAGCCACCAAAGGTGAATCGACCCCTGGAAAGTTGTGGAGGACAGAGAAATGACAGCTAGCGTCTCCTTACAGGGCAGGATGTTCTTGTAGCGGTTCTTGGCTTTGTTTTCCAGGCGCTGTCCTTCCTTCCTGGGGTACAGGAGCTTGCACTCCTGCTGCTGCAGCATCTGGGGAGAAGGGGACACACGAATGGGCAGTGACATGGAAACACCAGTGCCCCCAGATGCCACCGAGGGAAGCAGAGATGCCCATTGGAAAGGGGGAGGGAGAAGGTACCAGGAGGGAGCTCCCTGAGACACAGCCTCAGGATATACAGGATAAGTTAGGGCCCCAATGGGTTGCTCAAACAGCCCTCACAGTGGAAGAAGTTCCAGCGGCAGGACACTTCAAACCTCAGCGGAGAGGAGGGGAATTGGGAGGGAACACCCTCGGGTGGGGAAAAAACTAGGGTCGGCTGCAAGAGCAAGCAAGAGCCCTGCCTCATGGACGGGGAGAGGGGAAGAGCTCCGGTACCTCAAACTCCTCCCAAAACCCTTGCTTGGCCTTCTCGCTGTGATCTGCCATTTTGTTCAGCTCCTTCACTCTGTTTTCGATGTTGGCCGCATTGATGCGCGTGGCGTTAAACGGCTGGAAGGCAAGAGGGTGCAGAGTGGGGGAAGGCGGTCAGCATTGTAATTAATAAGTAAGTTTTTGACATAGGGTGCTGCTCAATTCACAACAGCTATGGACAGGTGCCTTGGGTCTAACAAGGGGTGCCTAAAAAGGTTGGGAAGTACTGGACTAGGTCAAGAAATGCCTATAGGCCAGGTGAGAGAGACATGAAGCTATGCTGCGGCAGTCGCTGGGGCAATGCTCGTTCATACAGCAGGCTGCAGGTAGAGGTGGAGTTTGTGCGCGCCGGGCTGGACCGGCCCTCACCTGTTTCAGATGAACCACAGCTCCGGATTTCTCCACCATGGGGTTTTTCTTGTAGTGCTCCACCAGGTCCGTGAGTGTGTCGAACCTCTCGCCTCCTCCGACGTCGTACTTCCCATCCAGCTGTGGGAGGAAGCGGGTGATGGTTAGGGCGATCACCCTGGGCCTGATTCAGCTCCTCTTGAAGTGGGCTAGGCTCTCCCCACCCAGCTCTCATGGGAGCTGGATGGGGCAAGCAAGGAGCACCTGGTTTTCCCCTTCTTAAGAGGAAGCTTGGGGTTTCCCACCTGGTAGCGGATCATCACGTGAGTCACTCGAGGCTTCCGGTCGCCCGTCTCCATCTTCTCTTCGTTGGTCAGCACCGATAAGACAAAGTCTCCTGGTTTGCTCTGGCTTTCCCGTACCAGAAAGCTCCCCGGTTTGCCTTTCTCAGTCAAGAGCTTCTCTGCCTCCTTGCCCGTCAGGTGTCCGTGGTACCACCTAGAGAACAGGGAGGGAGATCGGGGTGGTGAGGGCAGGTTCACAGACGCAGCAGCCCTCAGAGGACAGCCAAATGTCTGATTTCCACCCCCCCATGGTATAATGGTGACTCAGTTGCTACTAAAACATTTCCTCTGCTCACTGGAAACCAGGCCAAAATCTCACCCAGCTTCTGCCAGTCAAACATGAGACTTGGAGCAGGGAGAACGGAGATGAGAAGAGGTTAAGAGGTGTCACCCACTCTGCCCAAACCCAGAAACAAGCCTCTTGGGCAAAGTGAGGAGGCCACATTTGTAGACCTGAACTGCCTGCGTGTCCTTGGCAGTCACGGGACATGGTCTTCAGAGTCCCATCCCCACTACATATTTGGGGGAGCAATGCCCCAGTTGCATTTCTCCATCAGTGCTTCATCGGATGTTAGGGCTTGCTTTGTTCCTCTGGGCTAAGGTGAAATGGCAGTCGCAGCCTCAAAACACACAGCACTTTAATAGACTAGTCCATCCCCCACCTTGGGAATCAGACTCCATTTAAGTTGCAGGTGAAATCATTTTGGCAGAACTCATTAGGGAAGCTCTGTATTTAAAGCCAAGTGCTGAGCTAGCAGTCTGCAGCCAGGGAAAGCGCACACCTGGAGGGAGGCGGTCAGGAGCGCGGTGCATTGCTTGCGCCATACGTAGGTGCGCGAGCCTGCACGGCGCCAGCCCCGCTGCTCCGTTAGCAGTGTCCGGCCCAGGAAATGCCCCTCTGGATCTGACGGGCACAAATAACTGCTGTGGCTTCTGGTTCCCGCTGCGCTGAGAATTGGGAATGACAGCTAAGCCCCGTCGGCTTTGAGACGCTGCAATCAATCCGGTGCCTGGAGGGCCGGTGTGAGCTGCTCACTGTTCCACGCCGTCTCCAGTAGATGGCAGCTGCAATATGCTCTGGGCTGCGAGTAGGCAAGATTTAATTAAAGGAGAGATGGTGCCGAAATGGCACTTTCATCTGTGGAACCTCCGGCTCTACACCCAGGTGCCTGTGAGGTTACCTAGTAAATGAGAAGTGTCGCTGGGAAGTAACTCAGTTCCTCCCAGCTGCTACTTCTCCATCACAGCCACTGAGCTATGCTGCCTTTGTTCCTGGACTACAGCTTTAGTTACTGCACGTCAACTCGAGCTTTGAGAGCGGGCAGCTGGGACAATGGCATTGCAAAGAGGACCGATGGCCTCCAGAGCTGACGTTCTGGCCTGGGGATTGAGAGAGTGGGCTGGGCCACCGGCTCCAGCGCAGAACGCCCCGTGTGACCTGGACCCACTCACTTCATCTTCCTCCGCATCAGGCGTCCGTCTGGAAAGTGGGAAAGAGAGTGTACAGCCTCCCAGCCTGGAGGTATGTCTGCCCGGCAGTCAGCGAGACACCTGGACTAGCTTTCCTGGGGCCGGCTTAGGAACTGGCAGTCACGTTGCACAGCCGCACAGACCTCCCGGTGGGCCAATCTAGCCTGTAACAGAGGTGGGCTCTGAAACCCAAGCCAAGCTCCATGCTGCCATAGCTTGATTGTGACTGGTACCCAGCATCTCATCCAGTTAGACTGTAGACCCATCAGGGCTGGTGTCCATATCGCACCCAGGGCAACGAGGCCCCTCTGGTCTGCTGTATCAACACTGAGAGCAGCTTCCCCTCTACCTGGGGCATTTCCTCCTTGCGCTAGGTTAGCAATTTTGGGCGAATGCCTTGTGGGCCCCTCTTGGACAAGGCTGCCTCATGGCCTGCAAGCCAAGCTGCCAGGAATTCAGAGAGCTCAAAATAATCTTCCTGGGACGATGCAACGGCATCACATCATGTCTCGGCTGCTCTGTCCCAGGGGACGGAGTTTGCAGAGGGGCGGCGTGCGAGGCCGTGTCTTCTGGGCGGCCTGCCCTGGGAGATGCTTGAAAAGTAAATGGCTTCATGCGCGCTGCAGATGGGATCGGGGCTGCGTGTCTGCATGGGTTTTGTTACCAGGGGAAGTGAGGGAAAGACAGTGCTCGGGGACAGCGGGCTGGGAACTTCACATTGCCCTCGGCACTGCTCTGCGTCCCTCCTACCAGTGTCTACTAGAGTCTTCATGCCACTCGTCCGGTCCAAGACACGCTCCATGCCCCCGCGATGCTGTCCCTCAATCCTGACCCCTGGCTAAGCTCCCCACACACAGCCCTGCCCCTCGTATGCCGAGCTCTGGCCCCCCACTTTCCTAACACCGCAGTGATGACCGATTTGATTAGGCGCTGGCACGGAGCAGAAACCTTTCCCAGCCAGAGTGGAAATCAATGGGCGGGGTGGTTCCACCTTTCCAGGGTTTTGGCTGGCATGAACTACTGATGCTTTTCACACTGCAAGCTGGAATGTGCAAATAAACCTTCCTAGCACATGAGCTGAAGGGACTTCCCTGCCCCTGGGCTGGGGCGACTCACATGATCGGGTGGAGGGAGCAGCTCTGCTCCATTTCAGGAAGTGAGACTGCAGCACCGACTGACTGTGGCTGCTAAAGTTAGAGTCACTAGGATCCTTCCGGGGCATCTCTGCCTGCCTGCCCATGTCTTTGCCTTTCCAGTCCAGGCTTGTCAGCTTCCTGCGGGCATGTGACGCTGGGGAAGTCCAGGAGGTAGAAATCTGACCGCAAGGCCCCAGGGGTGGGAGAGTCACCAGCAGGGACTTGGGGAAGCAACTGGAGGCCATAGGAGATGAGTTAAAATTACGCCAGTCGCTTAAAGAGATCCTCACTATGGGCGGCTGCTAATTTGGAGCTCAGCGCCCTTGCAAGCAGGTGGCAGTGGACCCCGCACCCTCCTGTGTTGCTACGCAGGAAAGAAACCAGGCTGGCTGGGACAGGGGGGGGACAGTCAGATGCCAATAAGGAGTTGCGTGACCCACGAGTGCCCGACTTCAGGCTTTGTCCCAAATCTGGCACAAGTCTGACCCCAGGCACTGAGCAAGCCTCGACAGGGTGATGGATGGAGATCTGCCCTTGAAAGCGCCTGCATGGGATCATGCAGATGTGAGGCTATGAGCTCACCTTTCTGAGGTGGGGTCCTGGCAGTTCAGAGGGTACTTGAGCTCGATGACATTGCTGTTCTTCTCCCGCAGCAGCCCTTGCTGCTCCGTGTAGTACTGCACCAGCTCCGCGAGCGTGGCAAACTTCTCCCCTCCATACAGGTCGTAGTAGTCACCGGTATTTTGGATCTTAATGTGTGTCACCTCGTCGTTGCGCCTGGCGTGGGGGGGTGAAGGAAGAGGGTAAAACACTGTAAGCATCAAAGCTCAGGAGAGCTGGAGAGTTCAATGCCCCACCACCCTGCCACGATTCAGACCTAATACAAGCAACAATAAAGACGCTTAGCTCCTGGTGGGCACTTTCCACAGACCCAGCCCTTTCACCTCCCAAAAACATTTTATTGCCTTCTCCTTTGCACTCGCAGCTAATTCTGCTGGCTAGTCAGAAACCCTTGATTGCCAGCGAGACCTAGATATGCAGCCCCCTCCGTTCTTCTGCCCTGGGCAGCACCTGGTTGAATTGTGCGACAGGCTAGCTCAGAGGTTTTCATCTTTTTCACACTTGAGGCACCCCTCAACAGACTCAAGGCACTCCTTGATGGACTTGAAGCACCCCTCAGAAAATGCTAGCTCTGAATTTTCTCTTGGTTTTTTTGACTAGAGAAAAATAAAAGAGCAACTCTTCTGTTGCAGAAGAACTCAGAAAGACAGCAACAGGTCAGGATGTTTTTAGCAGTATGGATCCCTCTTTGCAAACTCTGGGTTTGTCTTGTGAACTGTGTTTGTACACCTAACAGCACTGACACCGCAACACCCTGAAAGGATCTCAAGGCACCCTGGTTGAGAATCACTGATGTAGGTCATTGTGATGATAACTACCTCTGTTTTGCAGATGGGGGAAACAAAGGCACGAGAAAAGAGGTGTGTTGCCCAGATTCATACCCCCAGCAACACTGGCAGATCCAAACATACCCTGCCCCTTGCCCTTCTCTTGATTTACAGCACTGAAAGGGTTAATGGCTTTTGCTCTGCTCCTGGGCCTCGTAAGTGTGCGTGCATGCGTGTGTGTGTTATCAGCTTGTTCCAAGAGCCCCTCAGCCCTCATAAAACCCAGCCTGCTCCTTCAGAAGCCCTCGCTAACCTTTCTGAGAGGCAGGCTAATTGCATTTTAAATGCACTTAGCAGCCTCCCTGCTGAGCTCAGGCGCAGTGGCTGGAAGCCCATTGCTTGATGGACGAGCTGGGCTGGAAAGATTTTAAAAATCCAGTAGAGAAAGAGAAGCGCACCAGCATGGTGTGGCTCCCAGCCCACTCCATTTGTTGCCAAAGCAACCACTACTGCGAGATGGAGGAGCCTGGGGAGCTATGAGGGATGGTGGAAGAGCCACTGGCCTCAGACGGGACAGGCTGCAATGTGCAATGCAACCCAGGCACGAAGCTCATTGAAGCCAGTGGCAGGGTTGCCACCCATAAACTACTCCCAAAACTGCGAGTGTGGGCACATGGGCATATACCACAGGTCTATACCCAAAGTGATTCAAACTTGCACCAGCCTGAGCTCAGGTCTGCACTTTTGACAATCTAGTATCATTATAGGCGCAGACAGAAGTGCGGCTCCCCAGTGTAATTCATAGCGCTTTGCAGGAAGCACTGTGAGTTGCAGCAATCCCCTGGACCTAACAGTCACCTGCTGTTGGGTTCATGGCATTGGGGGACTCAGCTGCAATGTGGAGTGGGCGCAGGTCTGCAGCTGCTTTCCCCTCCCCTTCCAGCCCCAGTTCTGTCTTCCAAATGAGAGTTGGGGGGAGGGAACAGAGGGAGTTTGGTCTAGGTTTTTTTTAGCTAACTCTGAAGGATGAGACAGCTGGATTGGAGCCCCCCAACCTTGGAAGGGGCTCCAATTCACCCACCCCACCCTCCAGTGCCAGCTGATAAAACCCCAGACTAAACTCCCTTCACGCCCTTCCCCCCCTCCCATTCTGAAGGCGGCACCAGGAGCAGGGCAGAGCTGTGCCAGCCCACCGCTGCTCCCAGCACCTGCAGGCAGATGTTAATGAAGGCGCTCTGTTCTGGAGCATCTTCATCTGAACCCTCATGCAATGTTCACGCTTGTGTTTGGTCACGGCTGTAGAACGCTTTCCAGTGGCTAGATCAAGCAAAAATGATCACTTCTGTCTGCGCCTAATATTTAGCCCCCCTTCACTCTAGACAGGCCCTTGGAGTAGCAGGTAGTGGTTCCCAGGGAAGGAGAAAGCATTCATCAGATATTCCTCTCCAGCCAGCTACAGAGTTCAGTATGGGATGCAAGCAAAACAGCAGTCTGCGTTGCTATGAACCTCGGCAAGCATGCATGGGATGCCCCACCAGTGAAATGGAGCCAGCACCGATGAAGCCACACGGGCTTACCCCAGCTCACTGTCCAGGCCTGGCCTGTCACCCTTTTTACAGCCTAGAATTTATCCCTTCATCTGTGCTCCTGCCTTTTCATCATTGAAGCACTGGCAGCACAATCACTTGGGCATCCCAAGACCATGAGGTCAAAAGGGAGGCTAGTGACATCACAGCAGCAGCACGTATTAAATGGGGACGTTGGATTTAATTGTTCCGAGCAAGAGAAAGGGAATAAAAGTGGAGGTCAAAACAAATGGCGTTTGCAAGAGAGCATCTCTTCTCCTTCAGGCATGCTTCTGCAGAGCAAGCCCCTTCTGAGCACAGAGCTGCACCCGCCAATTATTTAGCATCAACAAAGCTTTTGAAGCAGCAGCAGCAGAGGCGTTCGAAGCGCTGTCACTGTTTCTGATCCCTCAGCGACCCGCAGCAAAATCCCAGCTCCCAGGAACACGGCAGCACCCACGCATTCCCCTTCAACTCCACCTCCTCCACCGTATGTCAGCCTCCCCGCTGTGGGGCCAGACCTCTGCCTTGGGTAAACTGCTGTAGGCTCACAATGAATGTAGCACTGGGCTCATTTCCTCCAGGTAGCGAGATCTGGCTGCTTGCATTCTGCCTTGCCCGGGACAGAAATGTGATGTGCTTTAAGGACTGGGAGGCTCCTCCCTAGCTTGCTCCTGCAGCCGTATGGCTGAGGGCGGGCAAAACTTGGGGGCGTCCGAACCCTAAGCCTCCAGGCTTGGGCCTGCATGTAGGATGCCTGCCAAAAGGCTTTGGAAATATTTGAAACCCCAGGTGGGGGTGGAGGATGTTTGCCGGTTGTAGGGCCACTTATGGTGCTGGACTGACTCACAGATTTGGACTTGATTTTGCTGATTTGGCTTGGAACATGAAAAATTTATTTAAAAAAAAAAAGCATGTGATGAGAAGTTTATGCTAGATGGTGTGTGCGTGTGCATGTGTGTGTGTATATAGCAGAGGCAGGCAATTATTTCAGGCGGAGGGCCGCTTACCGAGTTTTGGCAAGCCATCGAGGGGCGCGACAGGCAGTGAGGGGCAGATAAATATTAATTCCCTAAATATTTTAGGGGTCCCACAGGCCGGACAGAATGGCTTGGCAGGCCGCATCCGGCCCACCAGCTGCATTTTTCCTGCTTCTGATCTATATCTATCTATCTATCTAGAGATCGATCGATCTATCTAGAGAGAGCTATCTAGAGATCTCTCTCTCTCTCTCTCTCTCTGTGTATGTATATGTATATGTATATTTCCACAAAAAAACCCAAAAAAAAGGTGCATACCTGGCAGGGGAGATGTTATCTTCTTGGCCTTAAATGACACAAGTGTTGCTAGAGAGTGAAGGCCTGTTCTTTGCACTGCAGGCAGGCTGACCCCTTTGAGGGTCTACTAATACCTCCAAATGCAAGGATCTTGGCTACACAAATTATGGCAATGGGGGATTGCTTTCAGGCTTTCCCTCTAGCTTGTGTCTTTGCCCTTTTGGCTAGGGGGCAAGTGAAACTAGGGAGGCATCTGAACTCCAAGGCTTCCAGGCTTGGGCCTTGCACACTGGATGCCTGCCATGGATTTGGGAGCATCTGAAGCCCCAGGCTGAAGTCTGGGAGGGGAGATACTTGCTGGTGGTGAGGCCGCACAGAGTTGAATGACTGGGCTCTCCTCGGTCAGAATTGGTACTGATTTGGCCCTTCAATGAAATTTTATTTAAAAAAAAAGGGAAAGAAAGGGTGCATTGCTATTAGCTCGCTAGCCCTGCTCCAGTTGAGCTGGTGGCAAAGTCCTCTATGCAGCATTAGGTCATGGCTAAGACAATTTGATGCATAGGGTGGATTTTCAGTATTGCATTTCTGCTCCAGCAATAGGAGGAACACGTCCTTGAGGAGGAGGGCTGCTGGCACTCTTGGTGTAGAGCACGGGACGCCCAGTGAGTCTGAGAGCAGTGTGCGTCTCTGGGACTGCGCAGGGAAGGCAACTCACTGTGCCTTTTGGGACAGACTGGCAGCTACCCAGAACCGGGGCTGCATTCGGTGTCACCACTGTCACGGACTCTGCCACGTCCAAGTGTGTTTGGGTCTCTCTAATCTCCGCAGGTAGAGATTTAATCAACCTGTGAGTGTGCAGAGGAGATGCTGCATCACTGAAGAGCTTTGCCAATGGGGCATCAAGAACCCCATGGTGCCCCAGCACAGATTGTCCTGCGTGTTTCCTTCTGTCCTAGCTTATGGTGTGTAGCATGTTTTTGAAGCCCCCCTAATTCAATGTCCTATGTTACGGTGGAGCCAGCTATTTTGGTACGAGGAGGGACAGGTGGCATCTATAGCTGTGCCACACACTCTGTGTATTCCCTGATTTTTGAAGCCAAGCAATCCTGAGATGCAAAATATGTATCTGGATAATGAGCACAGTTGTCCTCCAGCTCAGCTGACGGGGATAGTGTGGACTGGATTGAACTTCCTGCTTGCCACCAAGTTAAAAGTTTCTGTCTGTGTGGCCTACTAAAGTACTTGCTGGAACAAGGTCACACCCATTTATACAGCTGCTAAATCTGCTGTGATACTAGCCCTCTGAGTCCTATTCTGGCTGTACCGTAAACGGGGCTGGAGGTGGCTCAGATCTGGAGGCATCAAGAGAAGAGAAGCTAGCAACGAAACTCTGATGCAGGCCCAGGCTCAGATGGCAAGCCCTCTCCTTCCAGCAGGGCAAGACCCTTCAAATGCAAGTTCAAACATTTAGGTGCATTATTGTGGCTGTGGGAATAGGGCCAGGTGTTTCAAGAGAGTTCAGGACCTGGTTTCCAGATAGCCACACA